AGTTTATCACAAGGCATTCAGTATTTTTAAGTTTCTTTGTTCATTTAGGCAACTTGCACGCAGAAAGGTTGTAGGTTGTACTTTACCCCACAGTATAGGAATATCCACTTCATCACATCGCTCTTTTGGTCAGTGAAAATGGTAACTTGACTGTTCTAAATCCACATTTCTTTGATTCTTAATTAGGCTGATTTTTCCCATATTTTTATCATTCATTTCATTTCTTCTGATGTGAATTGTCTTTTCATGTTCTCCATTCATTTTGTTTTTATGTCCTAATGGATTGTATTTTTCATTATTTATGTAAGATTTTTACGGGGCGCCTGGGTGGCTCCGTCGTTAAGCGTCTGCCTCCGGCTCAGGCTCAGGTCATGATCCCAGGGTCCTGGGATCAAGCCCCGCATCGGGCTCCCTGCTCAGCGGGAAGCCTGCTTCTCCCTCTCCCACTCCCCCTGCCTGTGTTCCCTCTCTCGCTCTCTGTCAGATAAATAAATAAAATCTTTAAAAAAAAAAAAGAGTCACCATATTAGAACAAAGATGCTCTTATCACCCAGGAAATTCCAAGGGTTTTAGAAGCTCTGTGTCAGGAACTGGGGACAAAAACCAAATATATGTTTGTATTATATTACAAAAGATATCAGTGTTTGTCATATAAATGGCAACTATTTTCCCTATTTGTTTTTCATGCGGATAAATCTATCCATTTTCCTTTGGGATCTCTTCCATTGCTTTTGTGCTCCAAGAGTAGCATGAGACTATATATTCACATGATCTGTATGTTGATTCATCTGCCAATAGCACTCTGTTTAAATTATTTTACCTTTCAATGTCTGGTAGAAGAAAATCCTCACTGATCACATTTTTGGGGTTTTTTGGTTGTTTTTATTGTTTTTTTGCCATTTATTCTTCCAAATGAGCAGTAGAAGCCTTTTATCAAACAAACAAACAAACAAAAGATTTTGTTCAGGTTCTAAATGCCTGAAATCTAGATTAATCTGAGTCTTCCCATTCAAAAAGGTGTTATATCTTTTCCTTTGACCAGGTTCTCTCAAGAGAATCTCTGCAGTCTCCTCATATAGGCTCCTTTCATTTCTTGTTAAGGCAATATTTTACCCTTGTTGCTATTGTGTTTGGGATATTTTTCCAATGCCATTTTTTAAAAAAAGATTTTATTTATTTATTTATTTGACAGAGAGAGAGAGACACAGCGAGAGAGGGAACACAAGCAGGGGGAGTGGGAGAGGGAGAAGCAGGCTTCCCGCTGAGCAGGGAGGCCAATGTGGGGCTCGATCCCAGGACCCTGGGATCATGACCTGAGCCGAAGGCAGACACCCAACGACTGAGCCACCCAGGCACCCTCCAATGCCACTTTTAAGTAGTTTTTTCTCCATGGATTGGAAGAGTTTTATTGATTTTTGCATTATTTATTTTACACTTTCTAAATTTGTTCCCCTTAGCTCTAGTAGTTTTTCAGTTTGTCTTGGGTTTTCCAGAAAGATACTCATATTTACATATGATCATAACTTTCTCCCCTTCCTTTCTGATATTAATACCTAATACATCTATCTTCTGGTTTACTGCTAAGCTAGAATTTTGACAAAAATGTTAAATGATAGTCATGGTAGGGGGAATCCCTGTTGTTGCCCTGATCTTAATGGGAATAGTGTTTCAACACTAAGTACTAAGTTGGCCAAATTGTTTTAAGACAGGGTTTTATATATTTTTTTATCACTTTAAGATAGTTTTTACTTTGTTTCCTAGCTTGATGTCAGGTTTAGGTATGTCAGGAGTAATGCCCTATGGAGTAAGTTGGGAAGTTTTCTTTTTGATGCTCTGCAACAGATTAAATAACACTGGAACTGGATGCCTGGGTGGCTCAGTCGGTAAAGTGGCTGCCTTCGGCTGGGGTCATGATGCTGGGGCCCTGGGATCGAGCCCTGTGTCGGGCTTCCTGCTCAGCGGGGAGCCTGCTTCTTTCTCTGCCTGCTGCTCCCCCTGCTTGTGCTCTGTCTCTCTCTCTCTCTCTCTCTGACAAATAAATAAAATCTTAAAATAAATAAATAAATAAATAACACTTGGAACATCTCTGCTTAAAAGTTTAACAGAATGAGTAGGACTAGTGTCTATTGGTAAAGCAGATCTTTGATTCTATTTCTTCTTTGTTTATTGATTGATCATGTTCATTATTCTACCTCCTCTTGAGTTGCATGTATTATTTTCCATACTCTCTTAGAAAATTGCCCACCCCATTGTCATAAAGCCATATAGAATATTATTGTGAATTTAAAAAATATCCTCCATACTTTTATATCTGTTGTTAGATTTTCTTCTCAGTCATAATGTTGTCTACCTGAGTTTTTCTTCTTTGTCTCTATTGTTGGTCCTTTCAAAGAACCAGATCTTGGTTTCCTTGCCCTATTCTACCTGGGTTTTTCATGCTACAGCGTTAATCTTTATTAGTTTTCCCCTTCTGTTTTGTTTTTGTGTTTCTGATGTCATTTCTATAGCTCCTGGACTTGAATGCTTAATCAATTTATACTGAACCCTTTTTTATTAATTAATTAAATCATTTAAGGTTGCTATTTAGCCTATGACTATGACTTTGGCCACATCTCATAGATTTCGTCTCTGTTTAGTGATTTGATATCAAGGTCATGGTAGCTTCTTAAAAATTAGTTATTTTCCATCATCAGAATACGTGACATTATGGTACTTGTATATTCCATGAACATTAAAAAGTAAACCTTGTCCATAAAACACAGCATGTCTGGATTTTCTACAGGAAATTATTTTTATATCTTCTTGGACTTGGGTATCTGAGAGCTGAAAAAAGGAATTTCAATGTGAGTTTAATTTGTATTTCTCAAGTTATGAGTGAAATTGATTGTCTCTTCTTATGTTTAAAAACCACTTGTAGTTCTCTTTCTGTAAATTTCTGTTCACTTCCTTGGTTCATTTTTCTATTCCATTGTTGTTGACAATTTACAAGAAACATTGGTGACATTAACAATGAAAAAACAGTTAAAATAAATATATACACCCCTCACATACTTATTTATCAATCTACCAATGGAGTGAATTACAATGTGGTGAATAACATTTTTCAGTCCTTCATTCAACTCATATTTACTGAGCACCTACTAATGTCACATGAATAAGACAGACAAAATCTCTGGCCTCATGGAGACAGGGAAAAACAAACTATATGTAATTTCAAGTAGTGATAAGTGCTAAGGGGAAAAAAGGCACAGCGAGTGGTAAGTCACAGTGTGATATTCTTTTAAGAGGTGTTCTGTGTCTTTGTTTCTTTGTTTTCTTTCTGTATGTGTATGTGTGTGCACGCTCATGTGAACTGGTCTTTTCCAAGTTGATGTCAGCCATATTGATTTTAAAGAATGAATTGGTACACTTGGTATCTTTTTCCGTGCTCTTTAACTTTTTAAATAACATGGCAATATTCTGTTTCTTCAAGTTTTGATGAAATAATCTGGACCTGATTTCTCCTTCTCTTTGGACTAAATCTTTGGCCACCATTTGAATTTCCCTTTGGTTTCAGTGTAAACAGATTTCCTATTTTCTCTTAGTCAGTTTTGGAAATTGACATAGTCCTAGAAAATTGCCCATTTTATCTGGATTCAAAATTTCTTTGCATTTTAAAATTCTATTTTTCATCCTCTCTGTCCTTCCTAATCTTATCTACTTGCATTGTATCTTTGTATCTTAATTGAACTACCAATTAATTCACTGTGCACACAAATTCTGTGGGAATTGGGAATTGGGACAGGACACAGTGGGAACATGTTATCTCTGCTCTATGATGTCTGCAGCTTCTGCTGGGAAAACTCAGGCAGGTGGGGGCCAGAATCCTCTGAGGGGTTCCCTTACTCTCATGTCTCCCGTCTGTCTGGGATGACTGGAAGGCTGGGCTCTGTGGACCTGAGCACCTCCATATGGCCCCTTCATGCAGCTTAGCTTTCTCACAGCATGGCAGCCTCAAGGCAGTCTTACAAGCAGCTCAGGGATCCCAGAGGACATGGTCCAAGGAACAATCCAGAAGCTGCCCCACCTTCCGTGACTTAGCCTTGGAAGTCACACAGCATCACTTACACTCCTCTTGAGAGGTGGGGTCTGTGTCCCCAACCCTTGAATCTGGGCAGGCTTGTGACTGTTTGTACCAATGGAGGCTGCAAAGCAGAGCACAGTGGGATGGACTATTGGAAAAGACATTCAGCCACACTGTTGTGATTATTGTTATATGCACATGTTGAGAAATGTGTTAAATCTACTCTTTTCACTTCATCTAGGAATGTTCTTTGTGAGGTCAGCAAGTAAGCCTATGGCTTGGGAAGTGTGTTTACATACCACAATCCATGCAGGAGTTCAAAGGGGTACCCATCTCTTTCTCCACTTAGCTCACAAACTTTGTGAATGGGTCATGAAGTCACAATCCATGCATCTACTGCCATCTAGTGACAAGGGCCCCCATTGCAGATTTTGCTCTTTTCAAGAAATGAACCTCTTTAGTTCCATCCAACAAATTATTCTTACATAAGCAAAAGGTGAGAATTCCATTGCTTCTCTGATGGCATCCCTCACCTAGAAAATGTGGATAAAAACAGCCTCTCCATCACAAGATTGTTTGGTGATAGTGAGTAAATACATGCACTCACTCAAAACGGTGCCCAGCACAAAAGAAGCTCCATTGTTTATTATGATTCACTCCATTAACGGAGGCCTGTAGTCAAAACTCATGAGGCACACAAGGTTTGAGGAGAGGCCATGAAAGACAAATAGAATGAATTGAAAATTAAATCCTCACACAAACAAGCTGTGCACCTGGAGCCTGACACGAGAGTCACTCAGGAAGGGTTGGTTGAAGGAGTGAGCAGAAATTTGGGCTAAGCTGGACACCTGTCAGACCCATCATATGGACAGTCCCTTCCCACATCAAAGGGAGGAGAAGACAAGACAACATCATAGCTCAGAAGCAGGAGATGTTGTCACCAAGACCAGACCTTTCTCCAACTGAGGAGGTTCCTCAAGGCCCCTTTCATGTCCTTATTCCTAAGACTATAAATGAAGGGGTTGAACATGGGAACCCCCACGGCATATAGCACAGTGGCCACTGAGTCCTCAGTTGTGTAGGAAGAAGAGGGTCGCAGATACACTCCAAATAAAGTTCCATAGAACAATGACACCACAACAAGGTGGGACCTGCAAATAGAAAAGGCTTTCAGTTTGCTCTGAGAAGAATGAAGTCTTAGGATGGCTGAGAAAATGTGCATGTAGGAAAGAGAAATAAAGAGGAAAGGAGCAACAAAACGAAAGCTCCCCAGGGTGTAAACAACCAACTTATTGATGTGGATATTTGAACAGGAAAGCTTTAGCAATGAGTAAAGTTCACAGAAAATATGGTGAATTCTGACACTTGCACAGAATGACAGTGTATCTATCAAGAGGGTGTGGATCAAAGGATAGATATTTGTGATAATCAGAGCCACGGACACCAACATGATACAGAATTTGGGGCTCATGGTTATGATATAATGAAGAGGGTGACATATGGCTACATATGGCTGTCATATGCCATCACTGCCAAGAGGAAATTGTCCAGTTCTAGAAACAAGATTAGAAAATACATCTGAGTGAGACATCCAACATAGGGAATGGACGGGCTCTGGGTTTGGATATTGAGCAGCATCTTTGGTATAGTGACAGAGGTGAAGCAGATGTCAATGCATGACAGGTTGGCTATGAAGAAGTACATGGGGGTGTGGAGGTTGGAGGTGGAGCCAATGGCCAGGATGATGAGCAGGTTCCCCACCACAGCAACCAGGTACATGGATAGGAACAGACTGAAGAGGAGGGGTTGATGCTCAGGCACCTCTGACAGTCCGAGGAGGAAGAATTCTGAAATAATGGTTAGGTTGCCTCTTGCCATGCCTCCTGGTTTCTATAAACATGCATTGAGAATACAGCTGTCAACAAGAGCAGAGGCAATCTGGGAAAGCATGCACAACAACCTTCATCATTGGCTGAAATACTTTGTGACACTTTGGGAAGGAACTCTAACCTGGGGTGGTAAGGGCAAGAAAGTGTGGGGCTGTCTGGTCATCAGAGAATGCAGGGCAGGTGAGCTGAGGCCCTTCTTGAGACTTACCTCAGTCAGGAGCTCCTCTTTTTTCTCGAGAAGGAAAGAAGGACCAGACAGAGAATAAGACAGAACTGAAAGTAAGGCCTGGTTTGGGGAGGGAGGGTGGAGGCAGCTAAAGCAGTTGAGTTGTCACAATGGGTGCTTTGGTTGGATCCTTGTAGGCCTCTTTATTTTACTGATGTAGGGGTTTGGGTGATGACCATAAAGCAAAATTCTGTGTTCGCATGTGTGTGTGTATACTTAAACACAGATGTATATACTTTATAAACATATACACAGACATATATATTCATATGTATGTATTCACAGAAAATTTCATGAAAGCATATTCACCAAAATGCTAATAGTGGTTATCTCTGGGGTGTGAGATTTTAACTTGCATCTTTTTTCAACAATAAACACGTATCAATTTTCTAAACTATGCTCCATGGATGTTAATATGTCTTTCAAAAGGTTTCTGTGATGGACTAAGTTTGAAGCACAAGCACAGTTAGGGGCTCAGGGCTTGTCATACATAAGTTATGTTTTTGTATCTTTGTCTCTCCTTTCAAGTTCATGTTATGGAATCCACAAAGGCTAAATGCTCATGTGATGTAATTCCACTAGATAGACAGATCTACATTCATAAATCTGAAAATCAAATAAAATGGAAAACTTAATAAAATCTGATTTTAAAATATTGACTCAAAAACAAGCAGATGATAAGTAAACAAATATCCATGGAAGAAACTGAAAAATATTTCATGGATCTCCACCTAAAAATAAACCACATGCTTTTAATCCAGGTGCATTTAAGAAAGAATCATTTTAATTCATCAGATTTTCAGCCCACTAATCCCCTCTTCAAATATTAAAAGTTTACAAGGGAAAGAATGACATCTGTCTGCTTCACCACGGAATCACCATGGCCTCAAGCCAGCATAATACTGAAATCAAAACCTGGCAACAACAAGCATATGCACAAAAGAACAATGAGGCAAATATCTTCAATACATGCAAATGCAGTCTAGAAGTACATTGGAGGGTTAAGACATCAAATAGGAATATAAGAATGATTGATATTATGACATCTACTAATGCAAATAATCATATGAGTTGATGGAAGGAAAAAACTACATTATAAACTTAATGGATCCTAAAATGGCACTTGTAACACCTCACATTATTTCTTGATTTTTACAACCCTTAGTGGGACTGGAATGAAAGCCTCATCTCAAAGCACCAGAGTCTGGATGTCCTTTCTTTCAACCCAGCTGCCTCGCCCAAAGCTCTCCCTTCAGACTCCAATTTTCACTGGGCCCGCTGGAACTCATAATTTATAATCAATGTCTTCTCAAAACATTCCCTCTACTCTCTGCCTTAAAGGAGACTTGGATCCATACCTGAGGACACTACTTTCTTGCAGCTCTCTCCAAGCTAGACTATCTTTTCTTCTCACACCTCATATACCTCCGGGTTAGGAGGTAGAGTCAGTGACCTTTCCTCCCTACCAATGCTACTTTTCAGCCCAGTATTTCCTCTCCTTTAAAAAAAATCCCAAGAGTGGGGCGCCTAGGTGTCTCAGTCCATTAAGCATCTGCCTTTGGCTCAGGTCATGATCCTAGGGTCTTGGGATCGAGGCCCGCATCAGGCTCCCTGCTTGGCGGGGAGTCTGCTTCTCCCTCTCCCTCTGCCTCTCTCCCTTGTGCTTCTTTCTCTCTCTTTCTCTCTCAAATAAATAAATAAAATCTTAGAAAAAGAATCCCAAGAGTGACATCAAAAAAACCAGCAGAAGTAAGAGCTCTAAGGGCCTATCCCTCCACAAAAACAGTGAAGAAATCAGCAAAAATGATCAGAATCAATGTTGTCAGAACTCACAAAAATAGCCAAATATTTCCAAAAAATGAAGCAAATGTTGAATCAAGAAAAGGGTAACTTAAACACTGTAGAAGCTTCTGGTGTTTTAACTTTAGCCTTGCATAGCAGCAGTCTTGAAGATGGCAGCTTACATTCCCAGTGTAATACTAGGCTCAGAAGAGAGGAGAGCAGACTTTGTTCCCAAGCAGTTGTGTTTGTCTGTTTGGACTTATATGGAAATTCCGTGAAGGACTGACATCAAGCATTGGCCTTTGTTTCACCTAACTCAGAACTCCCTCCGGACAGAAAAGTAGCTAAGAGGGTGTCCCTTAAGAATAATGACCAAACCACTGCCAAACCACTGCAAAAGATTACAGCTGGGACAAACAATAGACACACCAAATGCCTTGGAGGAAAAACTGGGGAAAGTTACTTTGGGGAAGATTGACTTTGAAAAGCTTCTGCTTATAATGGGAAAATATAGACAGTCATATGCATGCCCAGGGCTGGATGCATGCTCAGAAAAGACCTGAGGATACTATAAGCTTTCACCTCCAACTGATATTTAGATTCAGAAAAACATAGGAAATGAAGGCTAAGGCACAGTTTTAAACAGACCAACTAAGCATTGAAAAAGTGCCCCAACACAGAGCCAAATTTCAAAGTCCAGGAGACTATTTTATTCTTTTTATTTCTTTCCTTTATTCCCCCCTCCAGTGTTTAAGGAAATCTCTGGAAAACCATTATCTGACCAAAAGCTAAAAGAACAGAGACTTCAGAGACCACACATGATAAAGCATAGTTTTTGGAAAATAGTTTGGAAAAGTCACCAAACCAACAAGCAACTACAAATGACAGAAAGCAACAAAAACAAACCCTGATGAGAAGGAAGAATCTAATTTCCAGCATTATCACATTAATGGTAATGTGGTAATGAATTAATATTCAAGATGTCCAGTTTTCAGTGAAAAATTATGAGGCATGCAAAGAAACAAGTATATATGGCCCGTTTACGAGGCATGCAAAGAAACAAGTATATATGGCCCATTCACAGGATGAAAAGAAATTAGCAAAAACTGTTTATAAAGAGGCACAGACATTGGACTTACTACAAAAAGACTTTAAATTAATTTTCTTAAATATGTTCAAAAAGCTAAAAGAAGCTGGAACAATATCTCAACAATTAGAGATTATCAACAAAGTGATAAAAATTATAAAAAGGAACCAAATAGAAAATGTGGAACTGAAAAGTACAAAAATTGAAAGGACTAATTCATGATAAGGTTTCAATAGCAGATTTGAGCTGGCAGAAAAAAGGATCCATGAACTTGAAGATACATAAACTGAAATTAGTCTGAGGAGCAGAAACAGATTAAGGAAAATGAACAGTCTAAGAGACCTGTGGAGCATTATCAAGTAGACCAACATATTCATTGTGGGAGTCCCAGAAGAAGAAAAGGAGAGAAAAAAGGCCAAAAAGAATATTTGAAGAAATAATGGCTGAAAATTGCTCAAATTTGATGAAAGCATGACTCTATACATTCAGAAAGCTCAATGAATCCCAAGTAGGATAAAAATCAAGAGGCCCACACCAAGACGCATTATAATCGAACCGTCAGAAGCCACAGACAAAGAGAGAATCTTGAAAGCAGCAAAAGAGGAGCAACTTGTCGTGTATAAGGGATCCTCAATAAGATTTACAATTTCTTATCAAAATCCATGGAGACCAGAAGGCACTGGGGTGACATATTTAATGTAATGAAAGGAAAAAAGTCAACCAAAAAGTCTACATCCAGCAAAACTCTCCTTCACGCTTTTGGGTTGAGCTGCCGGTTGTCCACGAGGTTCTTTGAGTTCACTCCCAAGCACATCTGCAATTCAAAATGTCGCACCCGTCCCCCCAAACTAAGCCCTCCAACCCCAGTAACCCCAGAGTCTTCTTTGATGTGGACATCGGAGGGGAGTGAGTTGGTCGAATTGTCTTAGAATTGTTTGCAGATATTGTACCCAAAACTGCAGAAAATTTTCGTGCATTGTGTACAGGAGAAAAAGGCATTGGACCCGCCACTGGGAAACCTCTCCATTTCAAAGGATGCCCTTTCTATCGAATTATTAAGAAATTTATGATTCAGGGTGGAGACTTCTCAAATCAAAATGGGACAGGTGGAGAAAGTATTTATGGTGAAAAATTTGAAGATGAAAATTCCGTGACTTCCCTGAGGATGCAGATATAGATTTAAAAGATGTAATAAAATTTTACTAATAACAAGATGTAAAAAATGTTGGAAATACTTTTTTCAAATCTCAGAACTGGGAGATGGCCATTAAAAAATATGCAAAAGTTTTAAGATATGTGGAAGGTTCAAAGGCTATTACTGAGAAAGCAGATAGATTGAAGCTGCAACCTATAGCTTTAAGCTGTGTGCTGAATATTGGTGCTTGTAAACTGAAGATGTCAAATTGGCAGGGAGCAATCGACAGTTGTTTGGAGGCTCTTGAAATATACCCATCCAATACCAAAGCCTTATACCGTAGAGCTCAAGGATGGCAAGGATTAAAAGAATACGATCAAGCATTGGCTGATCTTAAGAAAGCTCAGGAGATAGCACCAGAAGATAAAGCTATCCAGACAGAATTGCTGAAAGTCAAACAAAAGATAAAAGCACAGAAAGATAAAGAGAAGGCAGCGTACGCAAAAATGTTTGCCTAGTAAGAAATTCAGTTTTACTTAAATATGCATTGATTGTTATATAAAGGCAATAAGAAAATTTAAAGGTTTTTGTCGGTTATATATGATCCCTGATGTGTTTCCTTTGATACTTCAGTTTCCCATTGTTTACAGTTCAAGAATACTGAAAAGAGTTCACTCTTAATAAAACAGTGTTACAAAATTTAAAAAAAAAAACCTCTCCTTCAAACATAAAGAAAAAATTAAGACATTCCCTAATAAA